TGGGTTAAAGGAAGCCACCTCTGCCTAATGCCTTCAAGCTAAGGGGTGTCCACAGATTTTCCAAGATAAGAAAGCCCACGAGGGTGTGGCTGGGTGGTGAAACCCACCCAGTGGGGCTTTGCGGGAGAGTTCTGGAATTCTGCTTTCTGTTTGTTGGCAGGAGCCAGTAGCTGGTGTCTGGGAATGCCGGTGTGTGCTTCAGAGAGTGAGCTGCTTAGAGTTTCAAGATTGAATGTTCTAGAAGCAGGTCCCTAGTCTTTTATTGTCTCTGGCTAGTTGATGAGGGGTGGAGAGTTCGGAACACCCAGGAGATTTCTGCTAAGAGTACAGGCCATGAAGGTCTAGAGATGGCTTAAGGTGACCTTCAGTAGGAATGCGCCGTCCAGTGAACCCTGGCCACTTCGCGCTTTGACTTCTGCGGTTTTACTCTATCACGGTTTTTACATAACAGCGCATGCTCTGTCATTACTGCCACTGGCTGGCTTATACTGTACACGCTTCTGTCTGCATCGCTAAGTATTGGAGCTACGTATGAGATTCATTTTTGCTTTTGTGCTGTGTACTGTAATTGTTTGCGATTTTTAAGAAATTTTATCTAAGCCCTATGATGGCTCCTAAATGAGCTTCTTCTTCTAAGCCTTCTGACAATAAAAATAAGCGCCAGAGGAAGAAGATCACCATCCAGGAAAAGATAAAACTTTTTGATCTGATCAAAGATGGCAAGAAAATCGTGGAGGTTGGATGCCATTTCGACTTGAATGAATCTTCCGTTTTCGCTCCATCCGTAAAGAGGAAAAAAAGCATCCGTGCTACGGCTACTTTCACTTTCAACAAGGAAGCAAAGCGCATCGTGACAAATCGTAATAAGTTCATAGTAAAAACGGATTCTGTCCTAGACGTTTGGATCAATGACAGGCGCAAGAAAAACATTCCGTTAGATTCGATAGTCATCCGGGAGAAGGCAAGGCAGCTCTATCAGCGTTTTACAGCAGACAAACCTCAACCAGAATCCTCTTCTGCAA